TGTTGGTAGAACAGCCAAACAACACCGCGGAGTCGTGTGTGAGCCCGATGTCGTCCTGCGGCGTGGAGATAGTGTTGCACGGTGCAGATGCGGGATCGGCGAAGTGATCGTGGCTGATGGCGGCTTCGTCGGGTCAGAGGCTCGTGATGGAGTGCCTTTGCTGCAGCTCCGTCGTCACTTCGCTTGAAAGTTCCAAGGTTTGATGATGGTGCACGTGACGGCCAGCATGGCAATCCACCTGGCAGCCAACCCCACATTCAACATTCACATGTCTCCTTAATCTTAGGTCATATTGTTCATTCCTTTCGCATAAAGGAGGCAACACCCTCGGACATGTGGCCACGCGCACCCGTGTTGTTAAAGCAAGCACACGGCTGCTGAAACCTCCTCTTCTGCTGGTCGCGAGCCCTGCGAACGCCACCACACGCGAGGCAGCATGCGGCTCGGCTCCAAGGCCGGACATGGTATACAGGCTGCAGCAAACCGTATGTAGAGTGTGCACACGAGCAAATGAGTAACGGGACAAGACTTTTCCACCACATGAGCAGCATCAGCAGTGCCTGTGATGCACGACCCGTGGTCAGCATTGGATATGGACAACATAAGACTGGCTGGCTTCGCAACACAGCTGGCGCACGAGTCGCCTCGGATTTCTCGAGGATATGTGGATTACACTCCCCTAGTCTGGCCACGTAGTATCCCATTACCTCTCTGGTCGCTGAGAAAGTACCATGGACACGCTGGCGTACGCTGGCTCGCGCTCGGGTATTGTCGGACCCCGGGATTTCCCTTGTACTAGGCGACGGCTATCTATCAAGCCCTCCAGCCTTATCTCGCTGCGAGACGCGGCCAGACGCGACAACACCAAATTATCAAAGAAGATCTCCAGCTCCTATCTCCGCATCTTGGGGAATGCATTGTGATCGTCAGGTCGCTTCGACGTACTCTACTGCTAATTGGGAAAGGCTCACGTAGCCTCCAAGTCCCTGCGGAAGTCCGTCTCCGCATAAGCTGATAGGGTCTACACTGCTATGACTGATTCATTGTCTTACGACCAAGCTTCCTCCCGAGGGAAGCCTATCATTGTGATAAGCACTGTTATCATATTCACCGCAAACAAACCTTGGAACGCAGCAGGAGCGCTCGCACACCGACTACAAAGGTAGCGTGCCTTCTTCTCGTTTGTTCTCCCCCTTCCTAATCATCCTCACACCTCCACACCAACTTTCAGCCCTGAATCTATCCTGGGTTTCTGCCGCTTTCAGCTCTCGTCTACCTCGCTCTCATCATCTCCGACGCCTCCATGGCCCCGGAGTCTCTCACACTTACTACCACCGAAGAACAGCAGAACGACGTTACAGTGGGGACTATCACTTGCACGGCTCCTATCCCGTTTGGAGGGGATGAACAATGGCTTTACCTACCCGCAACCAAGAAGTTCGATCTGTCTCGGGGCTCCCAGCAGAAGATGGTCTTCGAGTGCGATGAGGAAGATCGCAACCACACCGGCTTCATGATTGACCCTGGCAATTCGGTTTTGATTGTTGTCGACATGCAAAACTACTTTGTTCACCCACTCTATCGGGATCACGCCGCAGGCATCGCCGCTATCGAGCCGACTCTGAAAGTCATCGAGAGATGCCGTAAAGAGGGGATCCAAATTGCCTGGTTGAACTGGGGAATCAGCGACCATGACTTGAAAAAGATGGCACCTGCTATCCAGCGAGGCTTCAGCAAGACTCTGGGATGGCACGTCGGACTTGGCGCACAGCTGCCCGATGGTCAGGGAAGGTGCCTGTTCAAGCGAACCTGGAACGCCGAACTCTACGACCCGTTCAAGGCAGTCGCTCAGCCTGGCGATTTATTCTTCGATAAGACGCGCATGTCGGGACTTTGGTCTGAGAAGGAGCCTCTTCACGAGTACCTTCGCGCATCCGGCAAACAGACACTACTCTTCGCCGGTGTCAATACAGACCAATGTGTTTTTGGCACCGTGTCAGATGCCTACTCTTACGGATGGGACTGTGTTCTGCTTCGCGACTGCACAGGCACCATGACAGGCCGAGGAGCTCAGGAGCTTGCCGAGTATCAAGTCTCGCAGAACATGGGTTTTGTGATGGACAGCAGTGCATTCTGCGAGGCACAGATTTGTGAGCATTTCGAGGGTTGCTGATTCAGCAGCACATGTCTTACGTTGGCGGTTTCCTGTCTTTTTTTGTTCTTGAGCGTGCTATCCGAATACCCGTAGAGCTACACCAGCCTAGCAGAAATACAATCAATATATGACATCTGTATGACTCGCGCTATCCGAGGGTTGCAAGATCGACGTTGCCCAATCATGTTGTAGCTTCCCCGAACGTTTGTGGATCTGCATAAGTTGAGGTACGGATGACGCACGACGAGGGTGGGTGGAGACTCCTCCCCATAAGGGCCTACCTCACGCGATAACGTTCCTGAGGTCATCTCAACGCTCTGGTGCACACATCCCGGACAACGACGAGGCTTGAAGCTATTTTGACACTGAAAGATCATCCCCAAATCGACAAGCCGCTATTTCGCCAGCACGATGTTTTCCCAAGTCTCGATTGGGCTGACGTGCCTGCTGCCGCTCTGCGCCGTTGCGCTACCCACTGACCAAAGGCCATTGATACTCAACGGCCCTAAGAACGTCCAGGCTGTTCGAACAAAGTAAGGAATTCCATCAAAACTACAAGCATCGTACTAAAATCCCATAGACTCAAACACGCTGAGATAATTCCCACCGTCATCGATGACTTCCTGCCTAGTCTCACAGTGTCCGTTCTTTGGTCGGATGCCAAGGCCAAACTCGGCAACACCATCGAGCCAGACCATCTTGGAGAGCAACCCACCATTGTTTTGCATGATGACACAAGCCCAGACGGAATGCACAGCACCTCCGACATGAGCTACGTCGTTACACTCACCGACCCCGACGCGCCATCCCGCGATAATCCAGCATGGAGTGAGATGTGTCATTGGATAGCTTCAAACGTCACCACCGCGCCGAACACGTTCTCGATCCTACCCCTACCAGAGTTTGGTCTTACAGAAGAGACTGAGTCGACAGACGGCGGTCCGGAAGACGTGATGGAATACAAGCCTCCTGGCCCACCACCAAAGACAGGCAAGCATCGCTACGTGTTCCTCGTCTTTGCGCCAAAGAACGGAACAACCGAGCCGCTCCATGTGAGTAAGCCAGAGGATCGCCAGCATTGGGGTACTGGGAAGGAGGGTGGTGGTGTGCGAGAGTGGGCTGAGCACAATGGCCTCGTGCCTGTTGCTGCCAACTTCATCTACTCGCAAAACGATAAGCAGTAGACACGCATCGATGCGCTTACTGTATGCATGGAATGCCGAGGGCACATGCATATCTAATGGCTGTTTTTCTTTTCGAAATCTCTCTGCAAACGGCGGAGGCGTACTGTCAGTAGCGTACACATAGCATTGATACCAACAATCTCGTAACGAATGCACGTAATCAGGCTCTCTTCAAGAGCGAGCGCTCTCATCGTATCATCCCATCGTTCCTTGTGCCGTGCGTCGAACGAGTAGCCCTACGGCGCCCCGATCGCGAAATTTGTGGGGCGACAGCTCCCGGGCCGAGCTGGTTGCACGCACCCCGCGCGCGTCTTCAGCTACCACCAACAACCCGCAACCACAGCTTCCGGCAACTTGTCTCTGTGCCGTCCATGCATTGCAGTATCGCGCCACTTGGGTTTCCGGTCAAGGCTCAGCACCCGTCGACTGCATTCCTGATTATCCGGACGAGGGTGTGATGACTGAAAGCGCCTGTATCAACCGGCTGCACAACCAATACCAGCACCGCGAACAGAGGCCTGCGAGTTCGAGACGAATCGATACGAAGATAATCTGAGCCTCACAATCTCTCCACACCCCTCGTTCAAATCTGCGTATCGACGCGCCTGGCCGGTCGACGACAATGAAGTCTATACCACGGGGGAAAAACATACGATGCGACGTCGTCTTCGCACATTCACTGCGATGATTACATCTTCGCCGAGTCCTTCTCGTGATAAATATCGACAAGATACCGAGCCTCACTTTCTGATGAGCGACATCCCATAAGCGGTCGAGATTGCGGCGATGACGGTCGGGCTCTGACAGAGCTGGATTGAGGCTCAACACCGACAAATCACGACGATACTACTGAGCTGGTCTTCTTTCACACCGTGACGGGAAACATGCATTGCATTGCCCCATGATGCGTTCCTATCGTGCGAACACTATGCACGTTCCACTGTACAGGGGCGTTGACGATCGTTGGCCGGCTGCATACGGCAATTACGAGTGTCAGACTAAATGTCATCCGGCACCTATCAGCGATACACAGCCCTCTCACCTAGTCGGTAATCAGTGGTAATTAAAAGAGACAGGATGCTGCAAGGTGTATGCCACCCTTGTACCGGTCAGACTTCGAAACTCCGAGACGGCTTTGCATACGCGCTCGTCAAATCATCTAGGCGCATAGGCTTGAGGTTTCAAGTCGATCGTGATACAAGTCAGGATATGGATGTGCTGTCGCGGTGGCACAATCTTACTTACATACAGGGCTGAGCGTCCCAAACGACTCAAGCCAGTCAGTATGCTTTCTTACCGGTGAATGTCATTCCAAAACCGCCATAGGTATGCTCTGCATTTCACCAGTAGGTGGTTTGGGAGTCAACATACATGGTGGAGGCTGCCATCACTCGCATTGCGATTGGACTTGTTCCCCGCTGACGTCCAGTTCAACCCTCTGTTGTCCGACTTTGAGGCTGCATAGTGCTACCTACTTAAATCGCTTTGATGGCCCTGTGTCAGGAGAACAAGCCAGTTACCGACTACGATAACTGACCGGTACTACAAGTCTCCACGCGTTGTGCGCTGTTTCGTCGCAAATCTCTGCTACGCCTTCCGCACTGCCTCAAGGCTGTGTCGCACCACGTCTGATGATGTCATTGGAACATCCCACCAGCAGCATGTCGGTATGTTCTAGCATGTACGAACGAACTTATTCCACTTCGTTGGTTTTCCTGTCTCAGGTGAAAATCTACGGTTACAAGACGAAGCCTACTGATACCGTATTGTAACAGCTTTCCGATGACGACATGGGCCGAAACCAGGAATGTGGACTGTACGATGCAATTGTCGACCGTTTCACGTACAGCGAGTTCTCCCAGAAGGATTTCCTCCCTCAGGACGACTTCGAATCGCTAATCACCGAACATACTATCAAAGAAGAGCTAGACAAAGCTGCTTTCGGAGAATATGATTCGTCACTTGTCAAGTACATTACGAAACACGCGCGAAAAACGTTTGCTACCTTAGTCTATGGAGACGCGGTCCGCAGGGCTATCAACCTAGAAAGATTCGAATTCGGCGACAGATACCTTCCCATCGCTCTCGAAGGGCCACGTCTCATCTCTCTCAACGGCTTTGCGCGAGATTCTTCCGCGTGGAAGTGGTTTAACAAATGGAGGACACAGGAGAAACATTTCTTCTGTAAAGAGCAATGGGTGTTTCTACCCCAAATCTTCAGGAACGATAGCACGATGGAGAACTTACACCGAGACTGCCGATTGCCCTTTATCGCATGCGAATCTCAAGGTGAAGGGGGCAGTTTCAGCTTGTTACACAAGGCTACCATACACCATGCTCATCAAACAGTCAGTTCGGTCAGTACATTCATCTCAGCATATCAACGATTTGCTGACAGCAATAGGGCAATCTCGTGATTGCCATCAAGGAACTGCGAAACAAGGAAGCCGGTGCCGATCAAAGTGAACTCGATGCGCTAGACCTGGCGAGGCAATTGAAGCATCCACATATCGTGAGATTCGTCGGCGGCTTCAGGCAGAACTTCACGAGCCATCTGCTGTTCCAGTGGGCGGACGGAGGCAACTTGCGGTCGTACTGGAACAACGAGGAGAATTGGTCTCGGGATGCAGACCTCATAAGCTGGAGTATTGAACAAATACAAGGACTTGTTGCAGCACTCGATCAGTGGCACAACAATCCGTCTAGGCTTGCTCTGAACGGTCGACATGGAGATCTCAAACCGGAGAATATTCTTCGATCTTCGGGACCGCACCGTGGAATATTTCAGATCGCAGATCTGGGTCTGGCCAAGATACACTCATTGCCAACACATGCAAGAAATAAACCTTCAGCATCTCCAGGCGGAACACTCAGATATAGGCCTCCGGAGGTTGGCCGAAAGATCTCAAGGTCTTACGACATGTGGGGCATGGGCTGCATCATCCTGGAGTGGATAATCTGGTTAGTCTACGGCATTCGCGAACTTGACGAATTCTGTCAGCAGGCATTCCCCGAGGAGTTCGACGCTTTCTGGTTGCGCGACAGCGAAAATCGTACCACTAATCCAGTAGTGGTTTCGTGGATGAAACACATGACCGACACATGTCTAGCAGACGGAGATCAATGCTACAGTGTTGCTCTACGAAAGCTTTTGATCTTCGTAAGAGACAGGCTACTGGTGCCAGATTCAACAGAGCAAGATACAAGCGACATCTACCACCCATCCGCTGACAACGAGGAAGTACCCATTTACATTACGCCTGCATCAGATGTCGGACATACGTCTCCTATTCCAGGGAGAGCAAAGGGCAAAGATGCATGCAGGGAACTTGCAAGGATCAGCTCGACAACTCACGGTATTCCCTACTACATGTACAACCCGAGGGTCAACATGAGCGGACCGAACGGGCGAGGACCAGCGATACCAAGCAAGTTACTGATGCCTTTGTCGACATCCAACTTTCGCCTAGAGGTGAATGGTCCCCCCGGCAATCGATGAGCAACTTTCTGATGTCAAGTCATCAGCAGAAATCTCGCGATCTGGTACGTCTGTATTACCAGCGACGACAAAACGGCGGAATTGCCAACACGAAAAATCCCTACGCAATACCCGGTGCATTGGATATATGGACAAAACAATTCGATAATCTTTTTGCAAAGACCGTTTTCGGCACCTTAGACAGCGACGAATTCAAAAGGCTCGCACCCATGTACCCGATTTTGACTCCTTTATGTCAGAATTGTTCGCACACTGAAACGGGCATCTTCTCAGGAGGATCGTTCGTAGTATCATACGAAAGAGCACAAGCATATCGTGCAATGTGTTCTCTGTGCGCCGTCATCTACATGGCGATGAACCACACGACTGGAGAGAACAGGTACAAAATGGTGCTAAGGGAGGGGTCTTCGTTGACCTTGGGAAGGGGAGAGCCTCCATTACTCTCGTTAGTAATAGGTCCAAGTCCCGGTAAGTTCTGGGTTTTATTGCTGCGAATTACTACTGATACCGAAAACAGGCCTCAATCGGTTTCCGGATACTTACCAGAGAGGCTTGCCAGTTTTACCGGGCCCTGGAAGTTCTACCCAGGTCAAATTGCTGAAGAGGTGGATCAAATGGTGTGATCTCTGTCACGAATGCAAACCGACAAGAGTAACTATGCCTCACAGACTGGTCGAGTTGTATCCAAGAGGTAATCAAGATGATCGAGGTCGCTGGGATTCAGATACATTGCGTCTAGATTGCGACAATATGAGGAAAGACGACAAATACGTGGCTTTAACACACCGTTGGGGTGCCCCGTCATTACATGGAAGTTTCCAATTTCTCAGTCGTAGCAAGCTCAAAGGTTGGCAAAGTCATCTTGATCTCAAGATGCTACCGCGGACTTTTCAAGACGCTGTAAAGATTACAAGAAGTCTCGGAATTCGATATCTATGGGTAGACGCGCTTTGTATCATTCAAGACGATGAGGAGGATCTGCGAGCGGAGATTAGGAAGATGGACGATGTCTTCAGATGTGCCTACGTTACACTTTCGGCGACTTGTGCAAACGGGAGCGATGATGGCTTTTTGAAAGCGGATCGCAAAGTAAGACTTCACTGCCCCCTCTCCTATGCCAACCATCCGGGTAGCTTAGACATGATCTATCTCTGCGAACCGATCGATGATTTCGAACGCGATGTAGAGCAGTCGGCGTTGAGTAGAAGAGGATGGGTATTTCAAGAACGCGCGTTATCGCGGCGTATCATTCATTTCACAGAGGTTCAAGTCTATTGGGAGTGTGGAACAGGAATCAGGTGCGAAACGCTGACAACGCTATACAAGTAAGTGAAACCAACACCCTTCTACAATGGGAAAGAAGCTCATCGTTACGCTAGCCACAAGACGTCTTTCCTGTCCGATCCTCAATTCCCCGATGCTATGTTGAAGCGATACAAAGGAATGCGTATCGCTTTCTTCGAAGAGATATACGAGAAATATTCCCGACTTGACTTTACCCATTACACAGATAGGTCGTTAGGTATGGCCGGAATCGAATCGCGATTTGCGAAATTGTTCGGAAAGGCACAGCACGGCATTCTTGACCATCCGAAGGAGCGCAGCTATTTACGCCGCACACTTCTCTGGCGACGTGCGGATCTGAATAGAGACATGATCAAGATCGACTATCCAAAGAATAGGCGGGTGCTCTCATGGTCGTGGATGGCAGTAACGGGCGCTATATGCTTCATGGATATTCCATTTGGCACTGTGGACTGGAAGCCGGACCTCGAATCACCATTCAACAACTGTGAACACTTCGGTGATACCCCGAGGGCTTTGCATGGCGACGCCAGAGACTTCTACAAGCAGTACGATGATCGTGTATTCTTCGATCGTGGCCGACTATCTGAATGGATTCCATCCAGTGAACTGAAATGTGTCGTTCTGGGGATGCAGGATATATCAAACGACCGTCTGTTGACCCATTATGGCTTACTTGTTACCGCTGCAGAAAGGGGCAGTGACGTCTACGAGCGAGTAGGAGTCGCTGCCTTTGAGAGAGACCGGTCATGGATGGACCAAGAACATATTCAACGAATACGTGTTATATAATTCCGCTCTCGCTCAACGCAGTTCTCTTTCGTCGATCTTGGCTACAGAGAAAACCTTGTTTCCTTCCTTTTACGATGGGATTGCGAAGCCTAGAAGACGAAACGATCTGCTTGCGGGTTTGGGATGATGTTGCTTTCTAAATATTGGGTATGATCAGCTACTGCCTTGATGCACGCCCGCCCCTTCAACCTGTTATCTCATCAACTTTAATATGCAAACTAACGTAGATAGCAGCGTGTTCGATAAGCTTTTTCCTTGCGGGAATAGCAATTACCATCCCGCAACCATTTTATCTGCATCAAAGACATGTCTCAGAACTACTGCTATCTAAATGAGCCATGCGTTTCAGTATGATCGCCCTGTTCTTTGACAGATGTTTACGAAGATAACCGATCGGCACAATTCGAAATCTCACCCTTTGTTCCTTCTTTGGCTTTCCTTAACATAAGTACGATCATGCCTCGCATCAAATCACTCATTCCCGTTTGCTGTCAAGCAACAACAGTCAGCCATGCCGCCCCGGCGAACAGCAAAGACAATCTACAGGCAGCCAGGACAGTCTACCCGCTATTCAGCGACATACGACCCATCACAGGAATACATCGATGATGAAGACTCCGAGATAGGCCAATTGATCAAAGCCGATCCTTATTGGCGCTACGTATTGAAAACTGGTAGGTGCGCCGGACGCACTTTACAGCAGCTAGATAATGATAAAAACGACGACAATTGCGTCAGTTACTTAAGATGGATGTTGACCGCCGAGAAAGCTTGCAAGGGCGTTGATGACGACCACATCGTGCGAAGGGGCTTACTTCAATGGAATAAACAAGCTGGATATCGCGCCACGATCCCTCCATCAGACGAAGTTCCTCCCTACGCCACTGGAAAAAATGCGCCTTCGTTGTTGAAGAAGCTGGTCGTCTCAGTCCCTTCACCCGAGCGCTTCAAAACTGCTGGAGGAAAACCTATCTGGATCTGTGGATCCGACATCATCGGTCTCTTCCACATGCAGCGACACCAATCGAACCGTTTCGGTGTGAAAGACATTCAAGAATACCGCGACTCTGATAAACGGTTCTGGGAGTTGAAGTACCCGCTCGAAGAAGTGTGGGAGGTCGCGAAGCGTACGCCTCATTGCCCGCTCGATCAAACGCCTGATGAGGCTCTCGATCGGTACCTCCTTAAGGTCCAGAAATGCGGAAATGGTACAATGGGATCTCTTCGTATCATATGCGAGCACAAAGACTGTGAAGAGATGCGAACGGGTGGGCCCAGCGAGGCGGGGCAGATGTTTTGGTGGAATTTGTACAAGGAAATGCTGTAGGGTTATGACCTATAATAGGATGGAGCTGACCAAATTTGAGGGTATTCAGTGCGACTGTTTCTGAGATTTCGAGCTGTAATACCTGAGGTCTGAAAGCTAGAGGCCACCTTCGAATCCCGGGATTCCGTCCTTCACATACATGCATGAAGGCCTCAGTTTTGGATTTGCACTCTCCATTCCTTCTCCTCTGACATGATGCTTGAAATTTCTCTGGTTCTCATGCTTCAGTTGAGCTGAACCTGAGACATCAGCACCGGATCTCTTGACTAGTTGGACTAGCCCTGCGTCACTTTCTTTCACAACCCTCCCGCTCTTTGTCGTCCACGTGATCGTGATAATCGCAGCGCTCCAATTCCTCGTTCCACCATCCGCATTCCAGGTTTATGGCCATTGAAGAATAGCGCGCAACTATGCGGATCAGCATAACAGGCGATAGGTTTTGTTTGAGCAAATCAGCAATCCCAGACTTCTCATCCACTCTGCCATAGTCGCTCACATCCCAGTGACGGCAGTGGACATTGATGAACAGATCCAGTATGCTATGATTCGATGGCAAGTTGTCCATAGCGTACTGCGTAGCCGTGAAGAAAGGAGGTGGGCGAGAAGCTGGCGGATCTTCTACATTGATTAAAGTGTCGACGATGCAATCGTGGGCGGCTTGTCTGAAGATAGGGGCCAGAAACCTATCGCCAAAGACGAGTGCCTTGGTATATCCGGTGATGAGAGTGTCGTCATCGACGTATTCGTCTGACGTCATGTTTTGTCCATGTAGAGAATCGCACTGGTGTTCGTTGGGCATTTGTTGGTTGTATAACCAGTGAACGAAGATGTCTACAGCCACAGTATCGACATCGCTCAAGGTCACCAGCTTGTCGTCTGACTCTTTCCATGAGCCGTTGAAGGCGTTGCGGAAGTACTCCGAGTGGTGTGTGAGCAAAGCTTTGTGCACGTGATAGTGTTGTTTCTGTGGGCCGATTTCGAGAACGACGAATCCTTCTTTTGCAGCTATACTGCGTACTGTCAGTTCAAGTTTCTCCCACGGATCAGGGCTATAAAGAAGCCTACCTGACAAGTGGCGCCTTCCTGGGTTTCTCTGGTTTTGTCTGCGTCGCAAGGTTCGTGTCGATGGAAGCCATACTTGCTTCGTGCCGCGGAGGAGCGACGCGATGAGTATGGCGCTGCTTGTTCAGAAAGTAAAGAGGGAGGAGATTAGAACCGGGCAGGCCTGATCTCGGTGATTGATAGAAAAGTTCGCTAGCGCACTTGCGTGAAGGTGAAGGTGAGACCGCTTAAACGAGCAAACGCACGCTTGCCCCACTAGCAATTGCAATAATACTCATTGAGTGAGATATGATGAATATTGATTACTTTAGTTCTCAAGACCCGACGAATTCACCGCTCCTTCACCAGCTCGCTACTTGAACTCAGAGCTTACAGATCATATACAGCACCTTCCCCGTCATACCCTTCTGGATGTCATCTACTACAACGCTTCCGCCCGGAACACTACCGCCCGCCACTTCCCTCGCAACGGATAATGCAGGATCCTCCAGAAACTTATACGTAGTGCACTGCGACATTCTGAGCCTATCAATATATGTCTTGTCTACTAGGCAAACAAAACTTACATGGTAAAGAGGCATACTGCTGGCCACTGAACAGTTACCTTACGTACGGTTGCACCACTATATACGTTAGGAGTTTCTCAGAGTAGCTGGTAGTCGCTGTTCGCTGGTAGTCGTGACTTACAGAGTTGTGGTGAGTAGCCGACACTCATGGGGAAGCAATGCGACGTCTTCGCACTTATCGTCCGTTGAGCAGATCTGAGCGTGGAGCATTGAAGGCGAAGGGTTTGCTGGGGAGGTGGGGGATGAGGATGGTGTGGGCACAACAGGCACTGCTGAGCTGGAAGGTGCAGCCGGGACAGTATGCGTGGTCGCTACTGGGACTCCCGGTGTCGCAATGTTACTTGATGGTGTGAATGTGGAGGCAAGCACAAATGAAGGTAAGGTTGGAGATATATGGCTTGTTGGCGCAGGAGGAGGGAGCGGCTGACCCACCGGTTTCGAGGAAGGAGCAGCCGGCGGTACGACTGGTGTAGTCGCGCTGGGAGGCAGCAATATGGTCATCCATGCAGATTCCGGAGGTAGGCTTCTGGCCGTGATAAAAGGGTGTGCGCTTGTGCTGAGCGCCAGCGATACTGTAAAGAGAGTGTACATGAAGTGCATACTTGCGAATTGCTGTGGTGATATCACGTAGTGGTGGTAGCCGGATTATATAGAACATGTTTGCACGAGTACTGGAATGATGGCGACGTGTACACAGGCTATGTACGCCAAAACAAAAGTAGAGGCAGACATATCTATTTGAGAATAGTGACCGAACAGGGCCGATGCCAACGTTTAATACCAAACCTCATTCTAGCCGCGTCGTACCTGCGTTGTAGAACCAGCATATTGAACAAACAACAACCAAATCCCGTTCTATCAATACTGAAAGCGGATCCCTAACCGAAGGTTGAGAACAGCACATGCTGCCTTGCCGCATGAAGAGCTCGGACATCATCACCACTCACAGTCCACCGTACTGGGCTCGCAATCCCATGTGTGCACCATACTCCAATCCTCCTCATCTTCATCCAGAGTATCCTTCATATACGAGTTCCATGGAGTGTTGTTCTTGATAGCACTCCCACTCCATTGTTCGTCATCCGCGTCCCATGGGTCCAGACTCTCATCGTCGCTCTGAGATAGAGTGTCGTCATCCGTGTGCTGTTCTTCCAAGTTCTCTAGGGTCTCGAGGATCTCGTTCTCATCCTGACCGTTGGTCACAGCCCAGTTGTCTTCATCCCACTCTTTGAGTTCCTCGGTCTCAACGTTGGTCATCTCCCACATCTGCTTGTAAGGCATGCCGCTAGGGTCCGTGGGCGCGTGGATGAACCACTCTGGCATTTCTTCCTCGCTATCTTCGTCGAGTTCGTATACTGTGGCGTCGTCTTCGCTGTCTCCGTCGAGAGTCCACAGGCGGTATCCTTCTGGTTCGTACTCCTCGTCTTCCTCGTACTCATCCTCCTCTTCATCTGTGATGCTCTCGCTCATTTCACTAGCCACCTCAGTCATCTCGCCCGGGATGAAGTTCCACTCGCGTTCTTCAGCCTCTCGGTCTAAGGTCTCGATCTCCTCCATGTAGTGTGCGACGCGCTCAACCATAATCTCGAGATCTACGGCAAGGCACCCATTCTCCGACCTGCATTCTGCAAGCTCGCCCTCTAATTCGTCGACGCGAGATTGCATGGCACGAATAGTGCCGGCGTTGTTCTTGGCCCAAGATTCGTTCGCGATGCGTAGCTGTCTGTTCTCTTCTTCGAGAGCTTTCTTCACGCGCCAGGATTCGTCACACCTCGATGTCCATCCTAGATGCAAGCTTCGAATTTGGGATTTCAAGGCATTGCAGTCCCTGGTCAGCTTCTCGATCTGTGTAGATACACGTTTGGCGCTTTCTTCGTTTGACATGATTGTCGCGTGTTGTTCGTGAATCTTATCTTGCGCCTCCTGGCTAAACTTGTTTGCACGCTCCCACTCCTTCTTGGTGTTGTGCAGAGAATGTGTCATGGCCTGGAGATGTGTGGTAACACGTTTGGCGCTTTCTTCGTTGAACATGATCGTCGCGTGTTGTTCGTCAATCTTATCTTGCGCCTCCTGGCTAAACTTGTTCGCACGCTCCAACTCCTTCATGGTGTTGTGCAGAGAATGTGTCATAGACTGGAGCTCTTTGGCTTTGAACTGAATCTGGCTCTGTAGTTCATAGCACTCATCTTCCTTGGAGGCATTCTTGCATTTGGACTCCTCGAGCGCCTGGGTGAGGTACATCATCATGCCTTCTGCACGGTCGCGTTCGCGGCGCGCTTGGGACAGCTCCCTACCGAGTCCATCGCGGAATTCGAGGTGGGCGACGACTTCCTTTTCGCTCTGTTTGAGCGCAGTTTCGGTGTTGGCGAGAATGGATTTGGTATCGACGAGGCAGAGGTCAGTACTAGTAGGCTTGGTTTGGGAGGCGTGGAGCTCGTCTTTGACTTCATACAGCTCGGCTTGAGTGGCCTTGAGTACTTCCTCTTGGATTTTTGCTCGACAGATCGCTTCGTTGAATTTCTCGTCGTAGTGGACCAGGCCGATAAGAGCAGCGAGGAGTACTATTCCGGCTGCCATGGACCAGGCCAAAGAGACCATTGTGATCGCCAGATGGAAGTGTAAGATACACTCTCTGTTATGCTGTAAGTGGTTGTGGTAATTTGTGTTCGTCGTGAAAATCAGGTATCTTGAGGAGAAAGGTTGTGAAGTAAATCAGCAGTGGTGCAGCGTACTATATAGTTCTATACTTGAGTGGGAAGTTCCTTGCCCAGATGCGCGTATTTTGGTATCCATGGTTCAGATGATCATAAGGCTGCTGCGGACATATATCGTGGGTGCGCAGTCACCTCAGTCCGTGGGACGTATGGGCACTCCCATCGTAATCCTGTGACGGTTATAGGCAAACCATGGCATCAATAGTGGAGATCCAAATAGAAAGTGGATTTTAGAAATAGCCAATTTGGTCCACGTGTAGTGAACATCAAAACGGCCGTTGGAACATCGTAGAATAAGATACTCGTAGGCTTAAGCATATGCATTGACTGGTACCATGTACCCGCGCAGGACGACACTGGATGCTGGGTCGCAGAATCAACGAGTGCTCACTCTTGATGATCTCGTTTAGCGTATGACCAATACTGGAGCCATGGTAATCGCTTTTGAAATTTTGATATGTACAAGAAGATGCTGGTTGACCCAGTGAATCTTTATCGGTGTAGGTCCTATCAATGTAAATCGTTTGGAAATGCGACTGGAGTGGTAGGGCCGTATGCCGCAACTTTTGTACCAGGATTTCGTCTTGCGACTACTGAGCCAGTCGGGTGCGTGACAATGCAACAACAAAATCGCCGACGCGAGCTGACTCCAAATCGCTCAGGTTAAATGCATGGCAACAAGCAAGCCTACTCGTTCAACTCAACATAGTTGGCGGGGAAGAGACCCGATTGGCCATTGTAGCTACCGAGCCACCAGTCTTCGTCAGGGAATTGCTGCAAGAGTATTAGCATCGGTTTTAGCAGTGGTGCAGGTAGTCTTACAAGTTCAGTTACTGTGGCTCCTTCGGGGAAGCTCAGTTCGTTGTCCTCAGCTGCTTCGTAATCGTACAGAGCGGTGGCTGTAGGGCCAGCAGACTGTGATGGTGCCGCAGCAGGTTCGGGCTCTTGCGGCGCCGAGGGGTGTGCGGGCAGTGCTGGTGCAGCGGCGGCATCGTCGCCCTCGACCAGCTCAACATAGTTGGCCGGGAAGAGACCACGCTCGCCCTGAGAGTTTGTGCCCATCCACCAGTCGTCGTCTACCATGTCGATGTCTGTGACATACTCACCTTCACGGAGCTCGACTTCGTTGTCCTCCGCCTTTTCGTAGTCATATTGGATGACTGCGCGCTTGCCGGAGCCACCGGCATCGTCATCGTCATGAGAAGCGACCGCTGCGCCGACGGCAGCACCGCCTACTGCGGCAGCACCAAAAGTGGCAGCAGCAACGGCAGCGCCAGCTCCACGAGCAGGGTCCTTGGCCTCGACTTGTGGCTCTGGAGACATGTCACGATTTTGCCTGGCTGCTTGATCAAGTGATCGCGCGGGCATAGGCGGTGCGTGTTCCTCGGCAGGAGACATCTCCTCTGGTTCGCGCCCACGAGCAACGGGCATGGCAATACGAACAGGAGAGCCGGAAGGCTCGGGAGACGGGCTGCGAGGTGGTTGAGGTGGTGGAGATGGCATACGCTGGTGTTGAGTGGCAGGCACATCCTCTTCGTCTGATTCCGGCTCTTTGGGTCGGGTAGGCAGGCCTGGCATCGGAACGCCCCTCGGGCCAGCATTGGGCTTGCTCGAGGTATCGAGAGGCGGTGGGCTGGAAGCTTGCGGCTCTGGTACAGGGCGTGAAGTTGGCGCTCCCATAGGGGCGGCACCTGTGAAGCGGTCCTTGAGCGAGCTTACGCCACCAGCTGCAGGAGAGGCTGGCTCTTCTTGTTGAGGTGCCCCACCCGTGCGTTGTTCGCTGAGGTTGCTAGTCGCAGACTGACCTGTTCGGGTGGTCTGCACAGGAGCCCATGATTTGCCGGAGTAGCCACTTTGCCAGCCACCACCTCCACTCTGTTGGCTTTGGAGGGGAGTTGGGCGGCTTCCAGCATCGGCAGTAGAAGAAGGAACGGCTTCTCCACGAGCTGCCTTCTTCTCCGCCCAGATCTGAGCAGGAGTCTTTCCTCCTTGGTCAGCAAACGTCTTGCTCGCGGCGCCGACGATTGGTGCTGGAGGAGCGGGCTTTGCACCAAAACCTCCTGGAGTAGGAGCTTTGGTGCCGGTGAATGTGCTCGCACCAGCGAACTTGTTGGCAACCTTGGGCTTCGGCAAGCTGGTAAGGCGCTCGGGCTGCGCGCTGAAAGCTGCTGATCTCTCTGCGAGAGACTTGGGCTTCTCTTCCTCTTCTTCGTTGTTCGACGCTCCCGTTGGGGCTGGGGACATGCCAGAGGATGGGGGACCGGCTTGGGCTTTTGCGCGGATAGCCGCGATATCGACCTTTCCGACGGGCTCGTACGCGCCTTTGACAACAGTGGGCCGGTCGTCTTTGGCATCGCGCGCTTGGGCTCGGATGGCTGCAATGTCGACTTTGCCAACTGGCTGGTATGCGCCCCTGACGACTTCAGGGCGGTCGTTCTGCGAGCCCGAGGGCTGGGAACCGGTGGATTCGTCTTTTCTCGCGGTGAGCTCGGCCATGTTGACCTTGGTGGGAGTGTAAGCAGTTCCGACCTTCTCCAGCTGGGATCTGGAGACCTGCGGGGCATCAGCACCCCAGCCATCCGCATCTTCATCGCCCTTTGGCGCAGGTGCACGCGAGCGGCCGAGAGGGTTGAAGCCAGCGCCTCCGCCGCCTATCGAGGTAGGTGTAAAGACGGGCTTCTTCGCGGCAACGGGAGGAGGGCCGCGCGGGGCAGGGACATCAGCACCGCCGCCGTACTTGGCGCCTGATGCGTCTGCAACTTTCTGGACAATCTTCTCTGGGCTGAGGTCGTCCTCGGAACGGGCGGTAACTTGGACATGGTATCCCTATGGAAATTAGCTTGTGCGTAGAGGGGCCGTGGGAGCACGCACATGTAGCAGCTTGGAGACAACCGTGAGATGGCTGCCAAAGTAGCCCTTGGTCCGCTCTGGAACACCTGCGCCGCACTGCGTGTGAATTAGCATTGTATCCCTGGCAGCTGCGGCGGAGAGCTTACCCAGGCTATCAGGACGTTCTTGGGCAGCGATGTGTTGGGGTCCTTGACTTTGACGAATGCAAACTGGATGCGGCCGTCTGAGAACTCGTCTATCAGGTCGAGCAGCTCGCCCTCTGCAGGATGTTAGCACATATTCTCGGTGGTGTCACTCTTGCCTGCTGTGCTGCGCTTCGTGATGTGCCGACACCCGAGCTTGGGCAGCCACCTTGCCATAGCCCAAGCTCTCGAGTGCGAAATGATGGCAATTGGAAGCGTGCCGCGCTGTTCCACGTACCTCCGGTGCTCTGCACTTTCAGCACGCTCTCTTTTCCGCCGTCCTGCTGGAATGCGCTGACAAGCGGGGCAGCGACTGTGAAGACGGCCCATTGGCCGTATGTGGGCGAGCTGGCCTGGGGACCAGAGGGCGCCGGGGCATTGACGACATTCTGGTAGCTGCGGGTGATGTTGGGGCCGTTGCTGGAGGTGTTGAGCGTGGCCATGGTGGGCGGGCGTGGAGGGGAAGCTGTCGTGGGAGACGAAGCTTGGGGGAGTGGTGGAGAAGAGGAGGTGGAGGAAAAGCAGCACTCGGAATTGACAGCTAGCACGATGCGTGGTGGGACAGGCAGCGTACGCGTATCCCGTATGTGTGTCTGTGTAATTGGGCGTGAATTAACCTAGTCGGGTCGGGCTGGTCAGCACAGGCGGGCCACAAGTTCGGTGTGCAGAGCTGGCAGCTATGTCATGCTTGGCCCGCGCCCTCGAGCGGCTGGCGCTGGCGCTGGTGGCAGGCAAGCGGTGCCGACGGCGCGCCCAACGACCTTCAAGGAGACCCTCGTCCGCTTCACCGTAACGACTGGACATAGCTCCTCGCACTGCCTGCCTGCACTGCATGCCAAAGCAGCTTTCTGCATCCTCCAAACCGCCGCCTAGACCCCAGGCTCCATCCTTCTAGCCCTCTAGTCCTCTTCACACCTCCACTCTGCCACGACAAACACTAGCATCGCCAACACACGCAGCGCACCGCCTTTTCCGCGCTCCATCTCATCGCGCGCTGCTCCATCGCATCGTCATCCATCGCATGTCGCTGTCTCTGTGTCTCTAGCCTGCGCATGCCGACAATGAGTCTGTTGTGAACGCTGCCCCAGCACGGCTGCGCCGCCATGGAGGACCGCGAATCAAGCCCAGCGTCGTCGGTCGACTTCTACGGCTCTGACGCGAATCCTCCCCAGGCGACGGCTGCGCACAGCGACGCGCCTGTCGCAAAGCGCAAGGCAGAGGATGCGCCCCATGAGCGTGAAAAGAAGCGCAAGCTCAGCAGCGCGAAGCCGCTCGTGAAGCTACCACCCGAGTTGTGGCAGCATGTTTTCTCTTTTTGTTCGCTTGCAGATCTCGGTCGATTGATCCAGGTCAATCGATCTTTCCTATCCTATCTCACAGATGTGCGCAGTCTGTCGACTTCAAAGTCGCATCCTGGCCGTCTGCATCTCCTAAAGTCCGAGTCGTTGTGGGCCTCTGCCCGCAACGCAATGTGTACCAAGCCCCCGAAGCCGCTCCCAGGCTTCAGCGAGCTGCGCATGTGGCAGCTGGCTTGGTCCAGGAGATGTCAGTTCTGCAATAAGCTTGATTCTCTGACTCCAGGCGAGCGCATATGGCAAAAGGGCCCCGGCAAAGAAGGCGTCCGCGTCATTTGGCCCTTCGCCATCAGAGCCTGCGGGCCGTGCCTGCTCAAACAATGCCAGACGGTGAGTTGCACCTTCCGCTTCCTGGGTCGCGACTGACATGTATAGGACGCGAGCCTTCTCTTCTCGGCTGCCTCCGCCCTGCGGCCCGCCCTCCCGTTCGCCCTCCTCACCAGCGACCAGCACTACATTCCGGCATACACCCTGCAATCCGCGAATACGCCGGCCGACGTCGACATTGCCAAGTTCTACTACAAGCAGCATGTCGAGGGAATCACGCAGGAGATGAACGAGGCCATCAGCCGTGGCCCTGCAGCAGCTGAGGAGTGGTCCAAAGGACTCGATGCTCGCGGAAAAGAACGCATGAAAGTCGCCGAGAACTGGGAACGCTGGGAGGTCAAGAACCTGTGGCAGGAGGAGCACGAGCGTGCGAAGCGCGCTCCATCTGCAGCTCCCTCGCATGCCGCCACGTCACACAAGGACCCGTCTAAATCACCCCCTCGTCGAACTCCCTCTCCCATAATTCATGCTCCGGTTCCAGCGAGTAAGTATACCTCTGCTGTCTCATTTGCTGCCACACATGGCGATGCCTTTCGATATGTCAACAACACCTCTCCAGTCCCCTCCCTAACAGGTGTAGCACCATCGTCGCAGCATGCGCAAGCGCGACCGCCTACTGTTCCACCACAGGCTTTCACCCCTTCTGGCCAGAGAAACCTACACGATGCAAACGAGGCCAAGGCGACCCGGAAGACCGACATAGAACGCCGGTGTCAGCAAATGGACCCTCCTATCGCTCCCAACGTCTTGCGCCACATGGACTCGTTCAAAGCGGCTATCCAGATTTCACAGCCAATGAACGACTATGCATGGAGTGTGCTCCAACCCCGCTTGATCGCTCAGCTCCCTGCTGCCCAACAAGCAGAAGCCGACCACGTGGCTCGGGCTGCTTCGTTTCCCACAAAAGCTGCCGACCGCCGCCACACGGACGCCAATTCCAAGGAGGCCAGAGAAGTCATGGACCGAGAGTGGGAAGAGTCGCAACGACCTATCCGCGACAGACTCGAAGCCATCGCCGACGACTTCATTAATCAGAGCTGGGACCATGGCAGCGCCGTCACTTACGACAACAGCCCAAAGTTCGCGGCCGACCTCCTTGCTCACGTGCGCCGCACATACTATGCCGAGGAACCCGAACAGGACTCTGCTCATCCCGGACAACATACGCAGCCTTCTACTGACAATATGACTACTAGGCCCAGGCTCGTCCTGGATAACATGAAATGGGTGTACGACAACAAGATCAAGCCTTTGACAGAACCATTCCGGAAGGACATCTTCCTGTGCCATGGCGGCGGATGCGAGTACAACAACAAGTACTATGGTTTCGAGGGCGTCACGCAGCACTACGGAGCCAAACATACTGCTGCCTTCAGTTCAGGAAACGTGGTCGTTGCATGGAGAGAAGCCGAGTGGCCGGAGGAGACTCCCTTCCACCCAGATCCTCTCTCTGTGAAGCAACCTCAACATGGTCATCATCCCTCTTCTAGTACGAATGGGTTTGGTGGCTATTTTGGCGGATACTCACGCGCAGGGACATCAACACCTCACATGCCCACTCACCATCCACAGGCGAGCCCTGGTCCTTACAACTATGGAGGCCAGTACAATGGACCATTCGCTCCACCACAGGTTCCTTCTGGCTTCGAGTACCCCCAGCCATATGCGACACCCGTGGATATGTATGCACATCAAGCAATGGGTCCACCAGGTTATGGTGCTCATGCGGCCCAGAACCCTTACCTGACTTCTCCAGCGATGATCAACAATGCCATAGCTCCACCACCACCCAACATGCCACCACCTAGCCAAGGAATTCCTGAGATCGCTCCTAGCGGTACAGAAGATACTGGCCAAAGTACTAGCTCGTTTGACAAGCAAGTAAGTACCGTCATCGACATGACCCAGGACATCTGGAAACGCACCTCGGGGATCAAGGACATGCCGAATAGCCTCCGGATCTATGTGTTGCTGCATCGCGTCATCTCCAAGTTTCATGTAGAGTTCAATCATGAACCGAACCTGAACCACTTCATTGATGCTCTGTCTAATCATGAGATGCCAAAGGCTTTGAAGAATGCACCAGGTCTCTCATGCAAAGCTTGTCAGACGGGCGCTTCGCATAACTTGGGAGGTTCCTTTTACTCCAAGTCGGAGGAAAGAACAACCTATACTGTCCTCGGCCTGTTATCGCACTTCAGGAGCCAGCATCTGCCTTTTCAGCAACCAATGCCTGGCCACGGAATGCCTATTGCCCCTCTGGACTGGAAGGAACACATGATCGAGCTTCCAAGCGAACGGTTCATTTCTGGTCTCATACACGCCCCAGGCATGGATGACGAGAAGCTGCTAATGATAGCGACCGTCTTTCCCAGCTTGTTCCCTATGCCACTGCCTAAGATCGGCGTGATTGATAGCCATGGATTAGCTTCCCCAGCCTCGTCAGGACCGAAGGATTCAGACAAAACAACTGGCCCAGCCGATGTTGCTGGTGAGGGAATAGCACGCCCCAACTCTGTTATGAAGGCAGCAGAAGCAAATTCGGCGCTACCACCTAAACCGCTGGAGGCTGGTTATGAGCCTGTTCGACCAAGCCTTGCCGGCGAATCGAATGAGGCGTCGGGCTCCATGAACAGGAAACGTTCATATCGAGAGAGCTCCCCTGCAGAGCGTAGGCAGCACCATTATGCTGAGCCGCGATACTATGTACGTGATCTACAAAACTCCGCAGAAACATTAGTGAAACTAACATCTTTGTCTGCCAGCTGCCGAGGGATCACCTTGATGACGGCTATCACCGCCCCCGGGAGTATGTAGAGTACGCCCCCAGCCCAAGGATCATCCATGCAGGTCCTACATATGAGGATTACACCGGCCGCCGAACAGCGTTCCGCGAGCAAGAGCGATTCTATGGACCACCCGAGGACGTGGTCTACGCACATCCGCGGGAAGGAAGCCACGGCAGTCGGGAATACAGTGCCTATCCCCGCCAGGCTCGATACTATGAAGAAGATGATCATCGGCCCGAATACCGGTTCATGAACGAGCGTCAGTCAAGGGATGCCAGTCCACCTCAAGGGCAATCTGCAGCAGATCGGTTCCTAGCAGAGAACGAACCCCCGCAACCACAACCACAGTCCGAAGTAGACGCTGCTGCACCAGCGCAGGAAAACGGGGATGGGCCTCGTTACACGCCTCCGCCTCCAGAAGCTCCTGCACCAGCAGATGCAACTGCACCTGTTCGCCCACTTGCGCCCCCACATCCTCGAGCTCCTTCCACTGTTTCCAACAACTCCCGATATGACGACTATCAACCTAACGGGTATCGGATGCCAATGTCTGGACCAACCGGTCCGCCACGAAGGGCTGGACCTCAACGCCGAAGAGATCGGCCTAACGATAACCGGGGACCGTCTCGATATCAGCGATACATGAGTGTTGCGCGGGAAGATCCCTATGGACGTGGTTCCAGCATGAGCCGATCGCAAAGCCGGAGATATGAAGAACAAAAGCGTCGCATCGATCAACAAGAAACACCGCAGCCCAATGCTGAGCCTGACTACGAGCCTGCGTATTCTCGAGAGCACAGCCTTGATCAGTCTGTACAAGATGAAGGGTTCTATCCACCTGCCCGCCGTCATCCCCGCGGGTACGTCTCTGTGCAAGACCGTCTGCATCCACATGCACACGGGTACTCACCACCACGATATCGTTACGATGAACCACGCGGTCCACAACCAGTTTATGTTGACGAGTACGGGCATCCCATGCATGACTACGAGGTCATTCGTGTACGTGGTGACACCAGGTATCGGGCCCCGTATATGCCACATCAGCCTCACCGATATGAACATGACTCATATGGATACGTCCCAGTCCAATACGAGAGGCCTGCACCACAGAGATACAATAGTCGCCCTGACGACTACATGTACTACGAAGAAAGGGAGAGACCCTTGCCTAGGCGAGCGGCGCCGGAGGCAGAGAGTGATGTATACGAGCCGCCGCAACCAGAAATCAAGGTGGAAAGCGTGCCTGTGCCCATGCCGCCGGAGGCGTCTTGATTTCACATTTAGCGTGGCGTTCAATCGTGTAACGAATTTCGCACCTTGTTTATACCTTTACTTTTCTACATGTGGTTTTCTCCTGGCTGGGTCATGTGGACTTAATGGGTTAATCCTATCTATCACGATCAAATGGTTGGTACTATTCAGTCACAAATTCTTGTGCAATCTCTTGCTCGACTTTAATATGATGGTTTTACTTCTACGAGACTGTGTGCTCTGGGTGACTGTCAAGTCAATTTCATGATGCGTGACGTCGATCAGACACAGGCTCAGATTGCGAAAAGCTGGATGACGAGCGAGTTTTGTTATGGCACGCGTGCCTTCTATAGGGTATCAAAATGAGGACACGATGCAGAATGATAAACAGGTCTATGCGGTCGACTGAATCACTGGCTCAACCGAGGACTTCTCATCCACGCCCTGAGCAGCAGCATCAATCTTGTTTTGAGCGAGGCGCTGCAACACTGTCAGTGTAGTCCCGTAGGTAGACGCATGATTACGTACCAACAGATTCCTCAAGAGCACCGCAATAGTGACTTTGCCGATGGCAGGAACGTAGATGGAGGCTTTCTCCTTGACCTCGGGTGTGAAGTTCCTCTCACTGGAAAAGTTGATGCATGCGGCTCCGTCCCTCATCAACTCGAGTGGCACCTTGTACTTGTCTCCAGGGACACCGCTGATGACTACATCGCTAAGTGGGAGGCAGTCGTTGAGGGTCCAGCCAGGCTTCTCCACTACCTCGTGTCTTCGCTTTCGTAGGCCAACGCCTCGTGTGAATTCCTGCACATCGCTGATATCCACGCTGTAGACATGGGCACCGTCGTTGGCAAGTAGTGCTGCAAGCGGTCTGCCTACCACTTCGCTTCTGTTGATGACGGTAATGGTGCGTCCGTGCAGTCTGTTACCGTATGGCAGGATGGTGTTGTAGATTCTCAGGTACTCCAGGATCTTGATCACGGCAAGGGGTGTGCAAGGCAAGATGCTCTTCTTGGTGTTGGCAGGGTCAAGGAAGCGAATGTTCTGGTACATGTTGAAAATGTAACGATGCGACAGTCCTTCCACGTCCTTGTCGATGGAGACAATCTGCTGGAGATATTGGTCCTGGCGGTTACCGAAGATGGGGTAGTAGACAATGATGCCGTCCACGGCAGCGTCGTTGTTCGCTTCGATGAGGCGGTCCTCAAGGAGCTCGCGGTCGACTTCGCGCAGGTCAAACGCAAAGCCACTACAATGAGGTTAGTAGGCGGCTTTCACCCGACTTCCAGCCAAAGCCTCAGCCATAAAAGAACTGAGTATCGACTTGTGGACGCGCTCACTTTTCAACACAAGTTTTGCCTGTCCATTCTGCGTATACCCTGGCGGCAGGATCTGCGCTGGAGAGGAAGCCAACGAGTAGCGGCTTGCGCGGAATCTTACTTAGACCATCGCGCACTTCGTCCAAAAGACCCTTGGCGATGTTGTTCGCAAGGATGACTTTGCAGTTAGGTTTATCGTCGGCCATGGCGGGGTAACTTTGCTGTTCTGGGGATGATGGGCAGCGGAATAGTCGACGATTGGAATAGTAGATCCAAGATATGAGTCGGTCCAGAGAAGACGATTTATTTCACAGCACGGGGCCACAGGGACCAGTCAAGCCTCCTCCATCGGGTCAATTAAACACACTTTCCTCACTGCCGACACCTCCCATTAACTTTTTTTGCGCGACCCGCCCCACCCTTCCGATACCGGCCAATCAGCAGCACCGCAACTCCGTAACGTCATTGCCGCGACTGTGCAACTTTCTGAATCGCGTGCTTCGAGGCATACGGCAACACATTGCAATATACCGCACCCGCGACCATCAACATGTCAGATGCTCAGCAGTATCTGCTGGACTTTGATAGGAACAAGAAAGAAGCCACGGCGACTGCTCAGCGGAGCGCGACGCGTATGTACGAGGTTCCGGCGGGGCATCTGGCGGGATGAGGGCTGATCGTGGACAGGACTGAAGAATGGCGAATTGAAGCTGATCAGCCTGGTCACTGACCTTGGGGAATACTTGAACAGTGAAGATGGAGCCACACGGTCGAAGAGTACGTATCGCTCTGGAATCTGTTAGGAGCTGGGCTAATCCATCGTAGCAATGTCGTACCTTGCGGAGGTACTCGCAGCCGTCCCACAGAAGGTTCTTTCCCTGCAACAACGTACGTGAACCCGCGACCGCTCAGCCCATACTACATTGTTCCCCGTACACATCCATCGCATGTCGCAGACCCAAACGATCGTTGGTACTGGGGCGGAGCATTAGCTATGGATCACATTTCCAGGGCGAGAGCATCGTGTCATGAGATAAAACCGGGCTAACGGGAAGCTTAGGGAACCTGCTCTGCGACTTCACCCTTTCCCGAACCGAAGACAACGAAGGCCTTGGGTCATGCGCAAAGGCACTCCTGGCGCTGGAAGAGCTAGGGAAGTGGGACGATCAGCGGGTAGTCAGCATCGTTGAGGCACTCCTCAATAACACACACCCGCTACGGCAATACAAGCAGCAGAGCGAACGTTACCCCGTGCTGCGCCTGATCGATACGCTCATGGCGAAATACCGCGACGCCCTCCGAGCCCACCACGATGCGACACCAGACTTCTTAGGACGCTTCATATCATACTTTGACGGAGAGAAAGATCCTCGGAACTTGATGGTCGTCTTCTCGATACTCAGGGTTCCGATGACGGAATGGAACGTCGGCGGGGATGCACAGGACCTGTTTGACGCAGTCTTCAACTACTTCCCAATTACCTTCAGGCCGCCACCTGATGATCCGTATGGCATCACGGCGCAGGACCTGAAGGATCGCTTGCGAGATTGCATTTCATCCACGGCCGACTTTGCGCCATATGCGTTCCCTGCGCTTCTGGACAAGCTCGATTCCACATCGATGAACACCAAGCGAGACGTTCTATCAACGATTACAGCCTCAGTGACCGAGTACGGACCAAGGACAGTATCTTTATACGCGGTTACGCTATGGGACGCGTTGAAGTTTGAGGTCTTGAATGTGCAAGAAGAAGACCTGGCGAAGGAAGCGCTTGCAGGCCTAGCCGCAATTGCAAGGACACTATCGAAGGGTACCCCGGGATCACTCAATGCGTATCTCAAACCTGTTATCAAAGAGTGCAACGAACACCTCGAAGACGCGCCCACGAAACAATCCCAAGCTTCCGCAAGGTTTCTCCAGAGCATCGCCAACGTGTCTCCCGAAGTCACTAGCCTCGTGCTGGCCGGAGTGCTACCGAACCTATTCTTACTATTCCAGACAGCTGACACCATGGCAAAGCGCCGAGGCTTACTGGAAGTTCTCGTACAACTAGTGAAAGCTAACATCGACGTCTATGGTGACTGGGGAAAGATGGGCCCTGGTGGGGAAGAAGTCAGCAATAACGCGCTCGCTCAGTTCCGAGACCAAGCGCTAGAAGTCATGTTGAACGGTCTCGAGACAGCCCCAGCCAAAGAAGTGTCATTCAGACTAGTCTGTCTTGATGGACTTATCCAGCTATCGAAAGCGCGAGGACTACTCAGCGACGACGATATCGGCAGAATCATTCAGCTTCTGCATTCCATCGTCATCCACGAGGAATCACATGGAAAGGACGAGGTTAAGGAAGCAGCCATCAACGGTATCGTTGAGATTGCCCACCAGAAGCCACAGGTCGTAGTTGAGAAAGCGTTCCCGGCTTTCCTTGCGCAACTCCCGGACACAGACGCAAACGGGTCAAAACATTACTCAACGGTCCTCGAAGCATTCGCCAAGCTCGCCAGCGAAGAGCAGGTTTTCGACACCGTCATACTGCGACTTAAGAACAAGTTCAGTGCGGCAGTTCAACAGGGCGCTTCTTCTACATACATTGTCGCGCTTCTTTCCGCGATGTTGTATGCCCTCAAGAAGGGCGAGAACAAGCTGTCGCAGGGCTCAGACAGCTCCACTTACTACAAGGAGATCGCGTTGCCACTCATCGAACGCGCATCGAGTTCTGACGAAACACATCCAGCGGCTTTTGACGATGAGACCACACTCGATCTTGTCGGCCGCATATGCAACTTGATCATCAGGTACCTCCCTACCGAACAGCAGAATAATGTTGCTGCGGAGCTGTACACCTTATTCCGCGGCAGGCCACAAAATGAACTTCCACCCTTTAGTCTGGATGCCAGTGTGGAAGCGAACAAGACGATGATCGTCTCTACACACCTCCTCGCTTCCCTCCGCAGAGACGCGACGCTGCCTTGCGAATTACAACTTTTGATCTCTTCCCTAGCAAACTACGCTCAGCAGCCCTCATTATCCCTACCAGTCCGATCAGCATCCCTTCGGCAGATGTCTCTCATCATCAACAAGTACTATACCAGCGCTGCACTTAAGACATGCATGGACCCTCTCGTCGCGGACTTTGATCTTCTCAACCCGGAGAAGCTTGATCCGCCACGGATACGCATTATCTTCGCGTGTCTCAAGGGCATTGTATTGCGGAGCAGCCCTGCGCTGAACACATTGTATCCGACGCTCTTGTCCTTGCTATCACATCCGAAGTATGGTAGTACCGTCGCTCAAGGTTTCACAACTCTATTGCAACCCGATGACCTTCTCACTAAGGAAAACCACTGCCAGATTCTCGGTCTACATAAGCATAAGAGCTTTGCGTTACTGGTACCGAACATCACAAAATCATTCCGAGAAGCGGATGCCCAAACCAAGCCCAATTATCTCATCGCATTGAGCGGAGCACTGAAATGGATGCCTTTTGAGATAGTAGTCGAGGAAGTTGGACAGCTCGTTACCCTGCTTCTCCAATCTCTGGACCTCAAGGGCGTAGACGTTGTTAAAGAGGCTGCAATCGGCACTCTTACTTCAACTCTCACGGAGAAGCCGGAAGTACTCGAGGAGCATGCTGGTGCACTCATCTCTCGTCTTCTGAACAACGCTACCGTTACAAAGGAAAACGTGGCTACGCCACCACCGCCA